TATAAAGACATCGTAATGGGAAAATAGTGAGTTGTAAAATAAAAAAAAACTAAAACATTTTTTTTATGTAATACGATGTTAATTGTAGACACTGAATACCTCACCTAACTCTTTTTTTATTCAATTATAATTATGTCATTTTGGATCAAAACAACATTATTAAAGGGAAATTATAATCATTAAGGTGTTTAATTTTATTGGGGAAATAGAGAGAAATGTAAGAACTTCCTATGCATTTGGAATCATTAAACATGACAAACCCTTGAACAATTAAAGCAAATTGTAATAGGAAGAAAAATAAAAAATAATAAATTGGAAACGTTATGTATTATAGAAATGTTATGTAAGGATTAATTATCAAGATTCGACAAGTAGGTATATATGAAATTAAAAAAAAAACAATAAATAAAAGCGAAAATATTTCGTAATATCCAATCATCTTACACATATATATTTAAAGCTTAAATATATATATATAAACAATGATAACACACTTAATTTTGTTAATAACTTTAAGAAATTTAATTCTGAAAAATAAACTGGAGCTCTTTTCTTATCTCCAAAATTTGAGGCAAACAATGTGCTCCGAATTGTATTTTTCAAAGTATTCTTTATATTTTTGGAAAACACAAATGGGAATTCTTCAGTAAATAAAGCGTGTTTAATTGGGTCACAGGGATATTTGTACTTTTTATTTTCATTTCCCATTTTGAAAAGTTTGCGAAAATTGTTTGTACGATTTTGTGTATGATTTATCTTTAATATATAATGCTAACCTTCGTAGTAAGAAAATATAAAGAAAAAAGACAATTTTTTTAGAAGGAAAAATGTGAAATATTTTTTAAAGAAAGGAACTTATTTTCAGAGGAAACCATCATATGAATAAATAAAGTTTGATTTTTGAGAGGGTAAATTTAGGATTTTTTTTAATAATAGTAAGTTATATACTATTACTGCTATATATTTTTTGTATTACGTACGTAAGAAAAAGTATTTCTTTAACTTTTAAAAATATTTATTACTTTTATAAAATATAATATGTTTTGACTAATATAATTAATGTTAACTTTGTTTTATTAAGCAATAAAATGCTTAAAAATATCATAAAACACGAATTACATTAAATAATTTGAATCTTTTCTACCTCTATTTATCTGTATGGAAAATTTGAAGAAACCTTATTTGGAAATATATACTTCATATTGAATTTCCGTTGCTCAACACTTTCATATATAGAATGATGACGTAAATAAAAAGCAGGCACTTTCATTGTAAATCATTTTAACACGCGTTCTTATAAGTTTCATTTTTATGTAATGGAACTGAATTTCGATTTACCCACTTTAAACTCCATCAGATTCATTCGAAATTTCTTTTACACTTGTCAGAACCCATGACCGGTGGCTACCTATAAAGGTGGGGGGATCCTGGGGTCGGACCTCCTCCCAAAGGCCTTGATTTTTCTGATTGATTAAAATTCTAAGTATATGGTACGTAAATTTCAATTAAGTATTTGTTATTAATGATTAATTTTATTAATTAATGTTAATTATTTATTCAATAACTAGTTTTTACTTATTGTTTTGTTCCGAATCGACAAAAATCAAAAGGAGCGCATAATACAAGAATGGAGAACTTTCAGACGGATTTAGCAGAAAAATTCCTGTGTGCTACTGCCCATGACAATACAATATTTCATAATTTTGTTTCATTGTCTTGATCAGGATTTTAAAAATTAAGGATTTTAAGGATTTACGAGATTTGGTGACTAATTCATTATATCGTTTCTAGATTTGGCGACTAATTCCATGTGCCATTTCTAGATTTGGCGACTAATTCCAGATTTAGCAACTAAAAGATTAAGGTGCAAACCTAAGACCGCAAAATAGGCTTCTGGTTAATAAAAAATAAAACAAAATAAGTGTTCTTTATGTGAAAAAAGTAGGGTGGGTGCGTAGTTTTTCTGAAAATGGAAATAAAAAAAAGACTCGCATATGTGAATAAAAATAATTTATGCTCTAACTGCTAAACATTTTTTTTATTATTTTTATAAAGCAATACGTTTAGAAGTGATGATAGGAATTAACATAACAGCAATCCGAGTTCCCGTTAACGGAGAGAATAAATACCCTTCAGGTCCATTAATTAATATCCATTAAAGAGCAAGACTAATTTCTTCAGCCACATAATTCTGGCCCCAAATATCAAACTCAAGGATAAATTCTACAAAAAATAAATGATAGGTTTAAAAACTAAAAAAAACAAGGCTTTTATTGTAGAATGAACTAAAAAATGAAAAAAAAAATTATAGTTTTTAAAAAAAACTAAAAAACACGCTTTCATAGTGAATCGGACTAAAAAGTAAAAAAAAATTCTTAATATAATAACATGATTAACGAGCAAATTAATGTCATTGTGGTAAAAGCGTGGGGTGAGCTTGGTACTACACTTTTACACTAACTCAGCATTTTGGAATAGAACTAGTGAGAGATTATAACAATTAATATAAAGCACCCCAAGCTTTTATCTCAAAGACATTAATTTTCTCGATAGTCATTTTATTCTTATATTTGAAATTTTTTACTTTTTAGTTCGATCCTATAACGATATTTACACAATTTTAAGCTATATTGACAGAACGTTCTATGTACAGGGTGTCAAAAATAGTACTTAAGCTCAGTGCAAATTCCTCGATGGAAGTACATAAAAAATGTCCCAAAGAACTCCACCTGCTGAAACTAAATGCTAGTGAGTGAATATGAACGTCACACTGTTCAGCTACACGAGGGCTTTTGGCGACGGACCTCGTAATTTTGAGCCGTGGTCAAGTGACGAGGACGACTCCTCAGCTGGCAGTCCTCTCTCCTAACTACCACATTCCACCAACGAGAGGAAGTGCTCTAGATAGATTTAACGTGCAACGTTCCCCTACACGGTAGGTATTCAGTGGTACTGGGCTCGAACTCGTGACATATCATCCATGATCCGGTACCTTGACCACTAGGCTACCGTGGGCACTTAAATATTAGAGAGACCAAAGAGACTAAATTGAGAAGAATTACTTCTACACATATATAAAACTTATATTTATACCGAATGGGATTGCTTGAAATAAATCTAAAGCTACTTTTAAAAAAAAAAACTATACATAGCTCCATAGAATTTGTAATTTGTAAAGATCTCTGGTTTCTTAAAACAGAAATATATTATATACACAGTGAAAACAGTTTAACATAAAACTGAGGGGGACTGAAACATATATTCATGTGAAAATAATTTCGTGTTTAGGAATATTGCAAGAAAAATTCATATATTCAAAAAAATTAAATTTATTAGAGAACATTTTATTTACACAGATTTGTATATATGCATGATTTTAAAAAAAATCAATGAAACAAACACATTCACAAGTTTTCAATGAAATTTTATACAACATTTTCAAGTTATTTGAAAAATAAAACAGTTATTGAATATTTGAAAAATAATCTGATATTTTTCTTTGCATTGTCTTTTTAGCATCAAACTGTCAACAATTTGTTCGATATCGTCCATTTAGTTATTCATTTTACCATTGGAATGTGTCATTCAATAACTGCGCATACTTTTCATGATGCTCCTCATTTCGGATCACGTAGGAACAGGACCCGCGTTATTCATTTCATTTTCGTCGTGGGAATCTGCATCAATGACATTTTTTCAGGTTTGAACAAACTCCAAAATGCTTTTTTCTGCTCTAATTAGGGTTGTATTTACACAATCATCATCTACTGCAACGAATTCTTCCTATGATACAGTAGGACCAAAATGTATGCAACATTTCATTAAGAGTCGGCTTAGTTTCAATATTCTCCTTCTTTGACCTTCCGCGTTAAGCGATTTTTGTTTCGTGTTAAGAGTAAACACAAGTAATATATACAAAAAAAATTAAGTCAATTCCTACATAGGTCAAGAAAGATTTTTTTTATTTTAGTTACTGTTTATTAAATAATTACAATTAATATAAATATGTATAGAGTACAGAGAGCGAATATTTACTATCCGGAGCGCCAAATATCCGGACCATTTTTTTTTGTCAACTACATGTACCGTATATGAATACGTTTTCGAACAGTGCGGCGACTCGCTCAAAAGACAGACGGAAAAATGAATAGAATAAGCTGTGGTCAGGTTTAGAAGGCCTAAAAGACTTCAATGACGACCACAGGGAGGAGATTACCGACTTTGTACGATCGATCCCAAGATTTCAAGGATCCAATGAAGAAGATGTGGAAACCTGAATGACTTGCGATAAAGAAGAATGCGGATTTCAAATGCTAAATGATGACGAGATTGTGACTCGGGATTTCAAATGCTAAATGATGACGAGATTGTGACTACCGTGCAAGAAGAATCCGATTCTGTCGACGATGAGACGGATGAACAACAGCGAAATTAGCAAGGGTCCATCAAAGGCTGACGCGTTTTCTGTTTTAGATACAGCTATGGAGTGGTACGAACAACAATCAGAGTGCTGTTGTACTCAACTATTGCTGCTCGAAAGAGTCAGAGAACTTGCAGCGAAAAAAACGAAGGTGTACAATGGTACAACGAAAAATAAGTGATTATTTTCCACAATAAAGTTAAAATTACTACCCCTTGTGCCCCTATTTTGCTTTTTCTTCACGCATGTTTCCCGCATGTGAGGATTTTCAATATTCGTAAAGTGTCCGGTTTCATATACTGCATGGATTGCATTCGGTTTTTGGTTATCCGAACAATCGCGTATCCGAACGGTGCGGGGTCCCAACTGATTCGGATAAACGACGTTCTACACTATACATATGACAGAATCACAATATTATGTTAAATAGAAAGGAATTTTGCTTGCAATTTTCCATTTTACATTCTATATAGGGTGTTGGACTAATATTTTTTTTGTTTGTTACTATTTATTCAAAAATTAAATTTAATTATTCCACTAAAAAGTATTGAAAAAGAAACGGCATTATCAGAAATTAGGCCATCCCATGTGGGATACGAATCCACGACTTTGGATTAGAAGTCCAACGCGCTATTCATCTCGCTACAGGGACATAACGAGCAATTTTACTTTTTACATATGGTGTTTTGAACTATTATATTTGTTATTATTTATTCATTAATTAAAAAAATAATGAATTAATATTTGAAAAAATAGTATTAACATTAAGTGTCATCCACTACAAGTTTAAAAAATATGTATTGTGAACTTGAGTGTATGAACAAAATGTATTTTATTAACGAGTGAAATTTTATATATATATAGGCCAATTCTCTACAAACAAGAGATAACATCCAAACAATAACATTCGACAAACACATAGACAACAGGAAAATCACACAATGAAGGACAAAAGAGTAATCGAGATTATAAATATAAAATGGATGCTGCAGTGTTATGAACATTACTGACTTAGGACAGCTGTTATATAAAAATAATTTATATAAAAGTGGGGGTTGAACATGTTTTTGGCCAGCCAACCTTCCCCTTTTTTTTGTAAATAACATGACAAAACCAATAGGAAATAATGGATAGGAATATCTAAATCCATTACAAGATAGAGGTAACTTACCTAAAAATTGCACTTACAAATGCAAAGCCCGCGCTAAATCTGAGGGCAAACATTAGTTTGTTGATATATATATATATATAGGGAGAGTATGAACTAATAGGATAGAAATTGAAAAAGATGCATGGAAGTACATAGTAGTTTATCCAGACCGTTGTTTTATTTCGTATTTCATTTTAAGCGTTTTCACGTTTTAAGCGTATTTTACTGTGTATTTACTATCTCATATCAGTAATGTTTCCTCACGAAAATTTTACTTTCTTCGATTATTAACGAACTCCATTTCTATTCTTTTTCATATAAACAGGGGAATAAAGTACTTTAATTTAAAATTTTAGGAATTTATCGAATCCTAGATTATAGCCTTTAATGACAAATTTGATAGCAATTAGTGAAACAAACTTCCAACTCGGGTGGCAGAAAATATCTAGCTTCAAGCAAAAGGAGTATTGGAAAACTCATCGAAATAACAAATTAAGACATGGGATAGTCTTATTTACTTTAGTGAAGTTTATTTGAAAAATGAAGACTTTTACATTCTTTAGAATGTTTAAAGGAAATCTATCCGAATTCTTGAACCCCAACAATCGCAATTCTTTGGACTGTTATAGAACCACTTGATCGATATTACAAATTTCCTTTTTCAATGTTTATTTCCTTTCACTCCGTGTAAGAGTTACTGAAATAAAGCGATACAGATATATAATAAAATAGTTCCAATGATTCAATAATATGCATTGGAACTCTTTTGCATTTATTAAATAATAGTATTGCTACGAATCTTGTGTAGTTAATGCTTAAAATAGGGTAAAATTTTGGATGCGGATGTTTAATACATTAATTCTATTTTCTGTTGTATTTACCTTATGATAAAAATTGTAATATTTTCAAGCAACACTACCCGTTTACATTCTAATGTCATTTCAATCGAATATTGGCGAAATATTGGAAATGCAACCAAGTTGGCATCTTTTTTGGTGACGAAATTTGGTGAGTTGGCAACCATTTTGGCAGTTTGGCAACTCTTTTCTGGCGACTTGGGTATCATACTGAGTCTTCTAGAAATTACTGGAGAAATCAATTAACGTCATGATCTATGACCTAAGCAGATTTTTCGGGAAATGGCTAGAATGCAGCCGTGCAGACTACATATAGGAGTCACTCACCAAAACTGAGTCAGTGGTGTTATGACTTTAAAGAGTTTACCAGCGATTAGTTGCTTGTAAATAAACTTTACTTACTTATGTTTCAGATATTGATTTTTGTGTCTGAGCGTTGTAGAAGTGCGAAAAGCTTCTGGGACTTAGTGTGAAATTGTATTGTGTATTTGCATTCTGCATTTTAAAGTTGTTTGCCGACAATAAATTTTCCTCGCTTTTTGAGCACTGTTTACTCTTTAAACTGATAGCATCAAATCCACGAACAATCTAAGTAACTATATAAATAAAAATGTTTATTTATATAAATAAATATATCTTTATATAATAAATATATATAAATTATATATTTTTAAATTAATTTATATAATATAAATATATAAATATATATCGCCTTTTCAAAGTGAAATTAAATTTGATTGTTTCAGCTTGTAATGAGTCTATCCACAATTATACTAATAAACATATTGGGTAAAATTAATCTTTTAAATTGTGATTTCAGTTGAGAAAATCTCTCCGTGAAGAAGGGATTTATGTAAGTTAGAACTATTTAAGTGTTTGTAGTAGAACACAAATGGAATGGTTGAAAGTGGATATAGAAGCGTGAATAAGAAAGATAACGCTGGAGTCGTATAGTTTTATAATCAAGTTAAAAAATATCCATAGATAATCCAAGTAGTGGTGTCAACAGGGCTTCCATATTAAGATGTGTGTTTATTTCTGTAATATTTAAATTAATCAAAAGTAATTGTTCCTTGATTTAGTGTGTTAAGTGCATTCTCTCCTTAGAGTGTCCGACTACGTTCGAAACCATAATTTTGCAAAAGAGTATAAATGGATAATGTTTATGATGTTTAGTGTCACTTAGATTAGAAAATATATATAGAATCGTTTTAAGAATATTATTACAGTAAGAAATTATTGAAGTAAAATATTTTGACAAGAAATGAGCATAGAATGACCTATTTTCAAAATATTCTCCTATTTTGAAAAATGCTTCTGTAATAATAATATTTTGCCTGTCTATAGCTCAGATCTCTGTACAGAGGCTCAACTAGAATGTTTGAAATTTATAATTTAGAAGTGGGTTTATACATGTTTTACGACAACAGAGGGGAGAAACTTTAAGAAAAAAAATCACCGATAATTATTTCATTGGGTTCTAACTCTGAAAATAATGTGAATTTTTCAAAAAAAATAGTTCAGACTCTCTGCGGAAGTCTTTACTTTATATAAGAAAATATAATTATTTTAGAAGCATTTTTTTATAAAAGAAGAACATTTTGAAAAAAAGTTATTCTAAGTTACTTTTTTGCCAAAATATTGTATTTAAATAATTGTTTTTGTCAAAATGTCCTTAAAACCATTGTATACATGTATTCTAATCTAAGTGACACTAAATATCATGAAAATTATCTATTAATGCTCTTTTTTAATATCATGGTTCCAAACGTAGTCGGATACCTGAAGTTGTCTAGTGTTATTAAGTGAAGTTGATAATAAAAGCGTGTTAGAATTACCATGGCTGATCCTTACTCGAACCCTTCAACACCATCATCGACCGGGACGTTACAAGCTTATGAAATGATTTCAAAAAAATTTCAGTAAAAAATATTAATGCATCAAACTACTGGTGTGCGAAAAGTATGACTACAACTTCAAATATTAATTACAACACCAACAAAAAATCTATATCCTAATAAATTTTTCTCTTCCATAAAGAAAATATTAAAGTGTTTCTACAATGCTTTAATGCACGAATTCAATGTGCGTATCAATAGTCAAGACTGCAACAATTCATCTTAAAATATAAACAGTGGTGAAAAAGGGATAAAACTATTATGTTTCTGGTGTTCTTACGTTTAAATATCACAGTTTCTGTGATTCTAATTTAAATATTATGTTACGTCAAATATATTTTAATATCAAATCTCACCAATAAAGGGATTAGATCATATTCATATGTAAGTATGAGGAATGCATCTGAGAGATGCCACGTGCGCATCGCATGGATGGAACTTTTTGAAGCGTGTCTAGTATAAAGGGTTAAGAACCTACTTCTAGTTTTTCTAATTTTATGTAACTTATTGTGTGTGTAACTCGGCATTTACGTAACGTAGACACAAAGTAACATGTTTTGTCAAATCAAAGAGATTGCTTTATTCAACAAACGAAAAAAATAATGTGTTTTGATCAAATTCGCTCATTTCAACGTGTTTCTTCAACCTTAAAAATCCAGTCAGATTCGTTATCGAATAATATGAAACAAAAAAAATGCATAGTTAATATTCTTTTATTTTTTTAAAAAAGTAGATTTTTTTTATAATATGTATTTGAATATTTATATATAACAACGAAAATTTATTTTATATTATTTACTATACAAAAAATTTAAAAATTCATTCCTCATTTTATTTTAACATGTATTAAATTATCCGACTACGTTCGGAACCGGGATTTTAAAAAAGTGCATAAATGGATATTTTTCGTGATATTTAGTGTCACTTAGATTAGAATATATGTATACAATTGTTATAAGGACATTTGACAGAAAACAATTATTTAAATACAATATTTCGGCAAAAAATTAACTTAGAATAACCTTTTTACAAGCTGGTCTCCTTTTGTGAAAAATGCTTCTATTATAAAATATTTTGCCTGTATATAGCTCAGACTCTCTGTATAGAGGGTCAACTATGATTTTTGAAAAATTCATATTATTTTCAGAGTTACAGCCATTGAAATAATTATCGGCGTTTTTCTCATAAAGTTTCTCCCCTCTGTTGTCGTAAAACATGGATAAACCCACTTCTAAGTTATATGTTTCAAAACTTCTAGTTGAGCCTCTGTACAGAGTTCTGAGCTATAGACAGGCAAAATATTATTATAATAGAAGCATTTTTCAGAAAAGGAGAATATTTTGAAAATGGGTCATTCTTTGTTCATTTTTATCAAAATATTGTACTTAAATAATTTTTTATTGTAATACTATTCTTAAAATAATTTTATGTACATTTTCTAATCTAAGTGACACTAAATATCGTAAATATTATCCATTTATATGCTTTTGTAAAATCACAGGGATACCTTAAGTATACCAAATTGCCTATGGTCGTTGGTTCGTAGATATGATTGGGTGTGATACATATTTCATATCCGTTAGATTAATAAGTAGGGAAAACAAATCCTATAACTGGCTAATGTGACTTTATTTCTAATATCAGCACAGATTGAGCTCTAAGGTAAGGACGAAAGCTCGATTGTTCCAGATGCCCTTTAGGAAGTCGAATCAATATGGGGGAGAGTAGAATAAGAAAAGACAAAATG